TCTAGGATAACAAAATAATTTTAGGCTGCACAATAATTTCTTGATTGTTCATGTAACTTGTTTCAGGCATAATTCATGTATCACAAAATTATAATAATTAATAACCAAATACAGATAACCAAATACAGTCTACAAGTAAATACGACCATGTTATTTCAAATTTATTATCAAAAAAAATCATTGTTTGGATATATTAAATAGTTATTTCCTTGATAGTACAACAGTCCATTGTCACGATACGTACGTACGTACCAGATTCGGATCCAAACCTGATTTCGCAAATACGTACGTACGTATTGTCTATATTGATGTTTTCTATATATAGTAATTTCGATTCAAAATTAATAAAACATTAAAGTTATGAAAAATTTAATTTTACAGATCATGTAATCGGATATTTATCATGTGAATTATTAATATTTAAATAAGGTTTTTTTTTAGTTGAGTAACGCTCTAATTTTTAGAATTTAATAAAATTTTAAAACTGTGGGCACCATCTTGCATTGACGCACAACATTTTGTTTAGAAGTTGAATTAGTTCGTGAAAAAGATAAACTGATAACGAAAGACTATCTAAATCGATTTCTCCCGCCCGTAGATACTATTGGTAGAGATAGCATAGAAACGACTTCAGTGTATCAAAATTGGCGATATTGCAGGATTGCATTCGAAATCCAGACCAAATTAAAGTGCAAAAAAATTTATATTTCTCTAACATCTAATCCAGCTCCTTATTTCACGTATTTTAGACGTGTTGATCCAAATATACAGCCCAGTGTTGTCAATGGACACTTTTGAACGAAAATTTGGTCATGTTACACTAGAAACGAAATATTAATAACTCAAACTTTATTATAGAAACTTAATATATAAATTTTATAAAGCATAACCATTCTTGGGTGGAGATAAATCATGTGACTATAAACCAATCAAATTATAGAATTTGATGATCGCCGGCGAAAAAAAAAACGGCAGTCTAGGGTAGGTTAAGCAAAAATGTCGGGAAGGCAATTTTGCATATATATAACTACCTAAAACCTAACATAACCCTAATCTAAGATGACCCTGACCCTAAAGTTAATTCAATAAATATTAATTATTTAACTTATCTCCGCTTTAAACGATCCCCATTCTTGGACTCGAACATCCCAAAAAAGGCCTTGGACATCAAAATGTACAACACTATAGTATATATAGTGTGTGAATTTCAAAATTAAAAAAATATATATTTTTTATAAATTTGTAATAATGAAACAAATACAGTTGCACCTCGATATAGTCACCTCCTCAGGATACAAAAATCGGATGACTATAAAAAGGGTAACTATATCCGATTACCTTTATAAAGTCACTAAATATACAATTAAATATTTGTAGTGACTGTAAAAATTATTATATAATTATTTTAAAATAATTAATATAGTATATATAGATTCCTATCTCTATGTGACTTGTTTAATAAATTTTATATTAAGATTTTAATTAAGGTTGTTAAATAGTAATTTTTAACTTCAGCATATAATAATAAAATTTTTCAGTCCGGTCAGTATGTTATTAACAAGGGCAGACTATTAGCATCTCAGATCTAAATAGATTTTTCCAGCATAGCCAACAAAAATCACAAGTACGTAATAATTAAAAATACATTTATATTAGGGTTAGCTTTACTTTAGGGTTAGGTGTTAGCAGAGTATAGTAGTAAAATCACCAAAGAAAGGGCTTTTTGTTAGAGCGCTAAAGGTGGTCTTTTTAGTTATGAGCGATTTTTGGTTTGCTTCTTTAAATTTTTCTGATCATGCTATGTTATATCAATTATCAATTAGCTATTGGTTAGTTTTTTATCAATCATCATGTGCTCAAGATTTTTTGTTGGCTATACTGAAGAAGTTAATCTAAATAATATAATATAGAACAAATTTAATTAATACTAGGGGATATTAATATCCTACCCTATAATAGCCAATAAAATTTTAGAATATAATCACGTGATATGGTTACAAAAATATTAGATTTACATTCGTGTACCCTTTATATCTATTTTTGTATAATGTTATAGTTATACAAGTGTAATCTTTTATATTTATACTCGTGTAATCTTTTATATATAATTCGCTATCAAGGGAAATTGATCTACGTATAAATATACTGTTACAGATATCAATTGCATTCACGAAATTTTGTTGAATGTGATAAATTATAGATTTACAAAAAAAAAAAAAAAAAAATTCAAACTAAACTGATTTATTCTATAAACTAACCTACTCAAACTAAAAATATTACTAACGCTTACCGTTACCCGATCCCTAATCTAAATCAAAACCACTAAAGTGATCACTCTAAGTTAGTGACTACTACTCTAACCCAAACCAAAACTATAACTACTGTAACACTTACCCTAACTCTAACTTAAATCAAAGAATATTACTAGCGTTTAACCTAAACTCAAAGTGATTTTTTTATATAAACTACACCAACCCTAATTTTTAAAAAAAGTTATTTAAGCTTCATTCAATATATAAACCAGCTACGAAATAAGATTCAAATTGATTCCAAGTAAAATACTGTATGCGATTTTTTACAATAAAACATAGTATTTTTATACAAGTACACGTAGTATAAATTTAAA